TCTACAGAGCTTATTGATTTTTTTTTAATTTATTATTTGAAAATTGCATATCAGGTTAAACGTTAAACAAACTATCTTCTAAATTATTAAAATTGAAAATTTTTTGTTGCGTTACTCAATCTGTCATATATGAGTATTAATCCTTGATCATATTTTTGGTTGCACAAGGAACTAGAGAAAATTGTTTAGATTCCTATGCTCCTTTGGAATTATGCACTTTAGCACTTTGGACAATATGTACCCTTATTTTTTAAGGTTTCAAACTGGTGGTTCGGTTACGTTGTTGAACGTGAGAGTTTGTGCTATGATGCCTATGTTTAATGGCATTCATGTTGCTATATTGGATGGTGATATTTTTAGTCTTTCTCTAGTTCTCGTGATGCTGTTACTTTGTAGGAATGTTTACCTGCATACCACTCAACTCTTATGTATTTACATAAGTTCAAATTTTACATATATGCCACCTTACCTATACATGAAAGCTTATATTTCACTTTTTAAAAGTTAAAATATTAGTATTTTTTATGTGATACGAAATATTTGTGGTATAAATGTAAAAAACAAAGATTAGTTGTTAAATATGCAAATATGTAGGAATTGGGTGGTATACACGTAAGTGCAGCTATTTTTTATGCTAGGAATATGATTGCTCTTTAGTAATTTCTTTCCATTTTTTGGTACTCTTTTTTGTGATAACTTGTCCTTCAAGATTTTTCTTATAGTTTTGTACAAGAACTCTGTTTTTTCTGCAATACTGATAAAATATACATAAAATTTGCCTGTTCTTCAATGCTCTTTCTATTCAAAAGCATGCAGCAATGTTCACTCTCTATGATTTTTTTTAGTTTTTCAGAAATAAGTACAAGGTCTTGCTCCCAAGTTTTTTTTTTTAATTTGATAGTGTTGACAACAACATGTCGGATAGAGCTATTCTGATTCTACTGATGTCCCCAATTGTCTTGATGTTTCTATTAAAACTATGCAATTCTTGTGTATAATTGAGACATGGAATGGAACTGAAAGCTTTTTTTTTTTAATTTTTTTTTGTGGCACTGATTTGTAATATGTTCGTGGTGTATGTATATGCCATAGTATTTGAGTTTAGTTAATTTCGATATAAACATGTTAATGGTTTAAGTTAAACTTTCCTGCTTAAAATATACTTTTGCTATGAAAGTGCTGATACAATCAATGACGTTTTTACATTTCAGCTCTCACTTTTCTTATAAAAATACCTAAACGTTGATGCTCATTGATCCTAACAAGCATTGCTTATAAAATATATTTTCTCATTAAGCTTGCTATCTGTAAGCTACAATTATATGCATGACTTTGTACAATTATATCCACTTAGTGGGATAAAGGCTTGTTGTCGTTGTTGTTTTTGTTACTCTATATTTCCCTTTTTTGGGTTCAGTGCATTGTTGTGTTGGTTGTCTTGTGGACCAAATTAAACCATGCTTGGGTGATCTGTGCTTGATCATTGGTGGAGTAAAAAACCTAGTAGTGTTAATATTGAATAGTAACCACTGCCTTGTGCACTTTATACATAAACACATTTAATTAAGCTTTTTTTTGTTAAAATAGATTAAAAAATTGTTTACAAATCATTAATTATGAGTATTCCAGCTAAAGATTATTACAAGATTTGTGCATGGATACGATTTTCCTCTTTAAAAACTCTGTTGTTTTTAAACAACATGCAATTGTTTAAGTTGTGTTTTGGGGAAATTTGTTTTTCTTGTGCCAAATCATTCTCAGCTTGCCCTTATGTCGCGGCACATTACGCCCAATCGGCATTGAATGTAGCTCAATATTCCGACAAACACAAAAGCATTCTTGATCTCACCTGCATGTTGTTGCTGTTTCTGCACTACTTCTGCCTAATTCCTTGTGCTTGTTTTCCTTACTCTCTTTGGTTGCCAAAAGGCTCTTGCGGTCCCATTGGAATCACTCCATCCTATCCTTCGCATTTTTCTCCCCATTGTTTGTTGCTTCTTCCTCCTTATAGTTGCATATACAACCACACCAGGTCCTCCTTTCTCCGTTTTACCCCTTATACTCTTGTTTGCAGCTGAGCCCTAATGCCAACCCATTTCTTTTGTGATTGTTGACTTTGATGATTGCTCTTCACTAGCTCATTACTATGTGGAGTCTGACTTCCATTTTAGTTTTTGGGTTTCATGCTGGCATCGACACCAAGGATCTACCTTGTTCTTTGTCTCTTGTAACACCTTTTCACTATTTATCTCTTGATATCCTATTTTTGGTGGTCGGCACACCTTTTATCTCTTGATAGCCTACTCTTTTGCTCCTAATATCATCTTCTCCCACTCATGTTGTTGCATGGGCCATTCATCTTTTTGTCCCATGGATTCCACCTATTGATTTGTGGATATCTAATTGTGCTACAATTGTTTCAACCAAACCTACTGCTACTGCTTTTTTTTTGCTAGTCTTGCTAAAGGAAAGGGTTTTTTACAGTTGAATCAGTCTGTTAGATTTTTTTTATTCTCTTAACATAACTTATATTATGCTAGACGCAAGCCATCACTATTTATCACTTACTCATTGTAAACCCACTCTTTTTCTTTTAGGCTGAGATTTTGATCCTCTAACCCCGTTTTCTTAGACCGGTTAGTAGATACAAGCCACACGCTGCATTGTTATCTCTGAGCTGTTTTCTTTCATCTTGTGTTCACTTCATTAATGCTATACTCATTAAGATTAACTAATACAAGTTCATGCTACTATCGCCGTCTCTTTTGACTCTCTGTGGCCCATGTTCTTTTTGAAATAAATAGATATGGATTGATACTTCAGCACGTGGGCATTAACAAAAAGTGAAATTTGAGGTTTGTCCTCATTTTGTCCTCTTACAAAATCTTTATTCGTGAACATTTGGATTGCTTTGGTTCTCATCCGAAGTATGGAAATATCTTATTGGGTCTTTATTGTTCATGAAAGTTATAATGATCATGGCACGGGCACTTAGAGTTTTGTGTTGTAAATAATAACAATCAACTTACTAGAAGTTGTTTCCTCAGTCTTGCCGCCACTAAATGTTATCATTCTCTAGAATCTACTCTAGCCTCATCTTTTATGCATGTGATTTCCCTTGCTATTGTTGATTGATTTTTTGGATGTGTTCATCCCTCTGGATTCAATTGATCTTAGTACAAGTTCTATAATTTAAAAACGTCGACTATGATGCAAAAAATGATTAACAGATGCAGTGTTGTGTAAAGCTAACTTGAGATGCATTGATTACACTCAAAATTACTCGATGTTTGTATAAAAAATTGTGTCCTAGGAAGTGACCTTTTATGATTGCTATGATTTAACACGACAAATTTACAGGCTAAGGATGCGGCATCATGAATTAGGCATGAATTGGCTCAATTGTTCACAAAGTTACTCAAATAATGCCCGTTTGTAAAATGGACTGTGTTAGTATGTCCATAATCCATATTATTAATATTAAATTTACCTTAGGTCGTCCATATATTTGTCTCATAGTATGAAGTCGATGACACTTAAATGAAGGCAACACTTCCATCGATGTGCATGTGAAATGAGGATGCTTGATTAAGGGGTTCAACAAACATTTTATAAATACAATTATTTACATAATTATTCAAATAAAACTTTATATATATATATATATATATATATATTGTAATATTACAAAAAAAAATTAAAAACATTACTTGTTCCCGCTCTTATCCTCTCACCCATCTTGTCCTCATGCCCCATTGGCCAGAACACCCAATGAAAAATGAGAAAAAAATGGTCCTAAACTAAACTAGATTTCTCATTTTGCTCTCTCTCTCTCTCTTCTTATTCACATAAATCACCTCTATTCTTCCTAGTGCACTCTCAAACCTAGGTTCAATTATTAGAACTTCTACAACTTCCCCTGTCATTCTTCTCTCCGTCTCGACATTCTCTTAGTGCACAAGCCTCATCTTCCTTTTTTTCTCTTCTACTTCGCACAAGTCCCACACTTGCTCTAATTTTCGCACATTTCAAGTTTTTTTTATTAATTACGGGATTCAAAATCTTCATATTATGGTGGAAGAAAAGCTGTGAAAAGCACGTCACTTATGCTTTGTTTAAGACTTACAAACAACAAACAAGATGCACCTCGTTTTCGGTCCTATTTGTTCTGGATTGATATAGGAAGCAACTTGAAACATTTCAGTACCGAGTTTATGGTTTCTGAACTGATTAGAAACAGTGCTTGAACCAAGATGGTTTCTAAGGTTGTGGCAATGCACGTTTGTAAGTGGCAATTTCTGGGGTATAAAATGTTGAAACTCCACTGTCAAATCGTTACACCATACTCATAAATACTCATAACAAAAGCTTGCAACTAGAACTTTGAGCAACACCTTAACTTGCAGGTCATTAGTAGTTTAGTGTAAACCAACTAATTCCACCATTCAACATTCAATAAAACCAAATATTGCAATTGCAAAAAAAAAAAAAGGCTGCTTTGTTTATATCCTATTTAATCATCCTTGTGGTGATTTGTCTAGAGCTCACTGGCAATTAATTGCTAAATCTTGCATTTTATCCGCACCAAGAATCCCCTCAGTTATATTCACATTTTTTTCCCACTCTTTCAAATTTCTGTTTGCATATATGCTCTCTCTAAGCCTTTCCACTCGTGAGCATAGTTTTTTCTCCATGAACTTCGTTTTGAATTTGTTGATCCAAAATAGTTTAATATGTTTTTTGTAATATTTCTGCCTTTCTTCTACTTCATCCATTTTCCAATCCTTTGAAATATACTTCCGATTTTATGGGTGGATTCTTTGTTGAACGATGTTGAAACTTGGTAACTCTAATTTCTTAATGAGTGCTTTTGGAAGTTTTACTGTGTATTTCACATGCTTTTAATTCATTTAGGTGAAAGACACTCTGAAAAAAGCTAGAAAAGAATTGCCTGTTGTCTGATGATTAATAAGAAACTTTTTTTGTTGGCCCATTGTCAGGGAAACTCTTTACACAAAGTTTTCAATGGGACTATCCTCAGCAAATATTGCTAACGAAGGGGTGCAGTTTTGTATTTTTGACTCAAGAAGGGGACAACATGAAGGTCAAGAGCTCGACAAGATATTATTTTTTTATCCGTCAGAGTGCCCCTATTCTTCACAGCTATCTTTAATAGGTCTTTGTGAAGGAATGATCACATTTACAAGGTCTGCATTACTTTTTTTCTCAATGCTGTTACTCCCATAGTACCATGATTGGAAGGCTTTTTTTCTCTTTCAAAACTTCTGAGCTATTCAAGCTTGAGTATTACTTCTACTGCAGTATATGCTAGAATCTATTTTGAAACATAAGGGCCTTTTTTGGCATCACTTTTGTTTTTTTTCTTTTTTTTTAATTTTAAAAACATATTTGTTTGGTGTATTTTTTACATGCTTTTATTTTTTTTATAATAAATTAATTTATTTTAAAAACAAAATTAAAAACACTCGAAACACATAAAAGTCATCATATGTGTTTTTAAAAATAACTAATGATATTATAACACACCAAACATGTTTCATTTGAAGGAAAGACATAAACAAAACAAAATAAAACAAAAATAAAAAATGAAAACCAAAATTGATGCCACAGTGCTCCTAAGCCTTTAAGAAATTGATTTCATTTATAATGGTTCCTTTTCATTAAGTTTTTTTCCCACTCTTTGGTTGCTGTAGATGGTTCAATGGATCACACCTAATTTTTTTGGGGATAGGATTAAAACTATGACGTAATGCATCCAAGCCTAAGAGTAAAAGCCCAAAATAGTCCCCCGACTATTAATAAGTGTTTAATTTGGTCTCAGGATTTTAGAATGTTCCAGTTTAGCCCTAAACTATTAAAACTTGCTTTAAATTGGTCCTAAATTATATTTTCTGTTAAATTTAACGGTGACTTGCATGAATTGAAGGGTATTTTTGTCTTTTATGTAATTGTTCAAAATTTATATGATTTGTATATAATTTTATTTATTTGTGGTCGAAAAATTATAATTTTTAATTTGCTTTAATAAATCTATCCACAACAGTCATCGCTTTTTTCAAGTAAAGCATTTTAAAATAATCAATTATTATGTCGTAAGAGCTCACAATATGAAATTATATGAATCACTTGATTTCAATTGAATTTTTTATTTTAATATTATTTACCAGAGAATGTGTCTTAAAATATTTAAAGTTAACTTGAAAAATTACTGAATGAATTTATTTTGCGTTTAAAATTTTATTCATGTGAATAATAAAATTATGTTTATGATGGCTAACCACAAACATTTTATATATATATATATATATATGAACATAAGGCTGTGTATTCAAACAATGATCAAACAATGATCCAATAAAAAAATTCATTTGAAAAAAAAGTGATGACTGCTGTGAAGAGATTTATTATGCAAATTAAAAATTATAATTTTTCAATAAAAAATAAAAAAGATATTTATATACAAACCACATTATATAAGATAAAAATACCCTTTAATTCATGTAGGTCACCGTTAAATTTAACGGAAATTATGATTTAGGATCAATTTGGAACTAAATTTTTAAAACTCTTGAGACTAAATTGGAGTATTCTGAAACTTAGGGCCTAAATTTGACGGTTCTTAATAATTGGGAAACTATTTTGGGCTTTTACTCCAAGCCTAATTTTGTACGCTTTGAATCACATACGCAAGTCCAACATCTGCTTCAACTCTTCTGCGTGGTCTAAACGTTATGAGAAAGGTATGGTTAAATCTTTGATTGAGGGGAAGAAGGAATTTTGTGTGTATCATTTGGAGAGCGATCCGCGAATACAATATAGGTCTAGATAGCACTCACTTGGTCTCACAAATAATCTGTTCTCATTCATTTATCAAATTCATTATAGAATACAAGCCATCAATATTTATTTATAGAAATCTTGTTACAAGAAAAGACCAAATAAGTTAAGTTTAGAATTTAGATATGTTCTTAAGTGAAATCAAATATAATCGTAACAAAATGTTTAAATTCTAACCTTTTATTATCCAAGGAAGAATAATTAAGCGTAGTAAATAATCTAATAAAAAAGGAAATGTTTTACCTAAAATAAAGATTGCTAAAAGGCATGAAAGTGGATTTTAATTTAATTCTTTTGTTACCCTGTTCTGCTTTTTTTGTTTGGTCCGTGAAAATCTGGCTTTTTTTGAATTTATTAGCTGATTTGTGCTGCATCAATACACCCAATTTACGAAGAACTCATCACGAAGAGTTCAAATGGAGGCCATGGAGGTGGAAGCTTGGTTGAATATCTTTGAGAACTGGTAAAGGATTTGGTGGAGATGGTAATGCTAAGGCTTTGTTTGGATGAGTTTTTGCTTTCGTGGAAGTTTGTTTAGAAATAGTTTTACAAAAACAGTTTTATAAAGTTAAAAAGTCGATAAAAAGTTATCTCTAAAATAGCCACATAATGTCATTTTTATAAAAGCATTTTCAGGAAAGCTTTACAGTCAAACCATTTATGAAATTTTATTTTGACTTTTTAAAAAGACGAAGGTGGCTTGGATGATGTTCATCCAAACGAATCGTAAAACAATTGCAATAATTATTCTTAATGGTGGCTGTCCATGATTTGAGATCAACATGTTTCATTTGATGCACAGCTTACATACTGCCAAATATAGGCTCTAGAGAAACTTGAGCAGGCAACATTAAGCTTTGCATTTAAAATTGAAATAGTAATCAAATCAATAGATATATTAAGCACATACTGACAAGTTTTATATCATGACAGTGGCAAGTCCTTTGAGTAATTTTTCCCATGATGATGTAAAGTTTGCAAGGTTTATTATTGGAAAAGTCAAATAAGGATAAACATAATGGCTATGGATCAATTCGAAGCATAAATTACTATGATCCTACCGTGTTCCTACTAATCTTTATAATAATTTAGCGTTAATATGGAAAACATCATTATTATAACCAGTCAACATTTTATTATCAACTTGATCCTCGTGCATATGTTTATGCTAACATATAGATGATAAAGGTGCAATATCATATGGTGAAGATAAAATAAAATTAATATGCTCCTCTGTAGGCTCATCATTTGATCTGGATTAAGTTCTAATTTATGATTTGTCATCTCCAATCTATAAAAAAAGGATCATTGTCTTATTTGGGTACTATAAATTCTGAACGTGATGCTGTTTCAGGTATATTTATAGGATTGGTAGCCCACTTTTCAACACATGCTTTATATTCTTTAGTTGGCTTTTGAAATGATTGATGAATATTTTTCAAACTAATTGTCTATTAATTTTAGTAGCTAGTTTATGGAAAATATTTAAACTTTAATGTTAATGAAATTTTATGTTCCCTAAGATCTAGCCTAAGTCCATTGGTAATCTGTTTTCCAAAACCCATGACTCTTCAAGCATTCAACAAGTTTGGCATTGATAATCAAGAAAGTAAATTTTACTATAATATTCAGTTTCAAAGTTAAACTCATTATGGAAGTCTTTAATTATTCCCATAAGCTTCATTTCATTCCATGCAAAGATAGGCTTTTTTTGAGTTCTTGTTACACATTTTTAAAAAATCTTGTAAAAAATCATACAACTTGAAGAAGCAACTATGATCTTTTGATGTCTATTCATGTAGTAACTCTTTTTATTAACCTCTATATCATGTAATAAATCCATGAATGTCAAAAAATTTGAGAGCTAGTAAAAAGAGGACAACAATGTTCATCAATGTTCTTAAAAGTGCACTTTTCGAGCAAGATGAAGCGATGCATTCATGCATGCAATGAGGAATGTAATCCCACCTTTCTCACATAATTATCATGGTTTTGCTAGAGAATGTAGCTCTTATCATTGATATGTTGCAACAAATCAAACATGCGTGGGCTCAAAAAATTCGAAAAACATGAGATTTTCGTCGAGAGCTTTTGTGTGTTAAGTTCTAGGTCAAATTTTCATAAGGTAGATGAGATAGTAGATAAGAAACTACTTGAAAACTTTGCCCTTTTTTTTGAGGATTTTAAATCTGAGATTCAAGGTTTTTCATATGTCAAGCCCCTATGGTTAATTACTTCTCTCGATACCATGAGAGCACTTTCGATTAACGCTAGTCATTCGACATTAAGTATTTGGACTTAGCATATAGTAGCAACAAATTTTAATTTAAAAATTATAGAAATTATCACTGTGAGCTCAAAGCTTATGGTGAGGGAAATGATGACGAACTCGATCAAGAACCAATGATTTTGTTATCCCGGGTTGTCATAGTTTCGAGTCGACTTAATCAGCAGAAGTAATTGACCCAACATGACATAAGGATGCTTGTTAGCAACCATGAGTTGTTTCTTCCAAGGGGACTTTGTAAACCTGGGGTGAATGTTTGTTTAATGAGACTACCTTTAGTCGAACTTAGCTTACAGAGAGTTTTTTGTCCTATCAAATAACCTTGTAAACCCAGGGTGAATGTTTGTTTAATGAGACTAATTTTAGTCAAACTTAGCTTACAGAGAGTTTTTTGTCCTAACAAATACACCCTATGATTCATAACTCAAAAATGCAAAATACTATTGCGGAACATACGGGCTACAATCTTGATCATAATATAATAATGTCATTGGAAGGTAAACCACCCTGTTATAGGACTAGAGCCATGCCCTTATTATCATGAGATTATTTTTAGCAAGCATTTAGTAATATGTTTGATAGAATATTGGTTCTTTGTGAGCTCGAATAAGTCTTAGATTTGTCCACCTCGAAAAAAAATTGTGAAGGATGAATTGATTTTACTTTTAAGTGTTTCAGTGATAAATTTCATCTTAGATATTTGAATTTTATAATTTTATAATCTTTATTTTATGAATAAATCCTTCTGGTAAGATGTGCAATAAATATGTCTATCATCAGAGAATAATTTCTTAAACATCATTGCGAGCATTGGTTTTACCAACTTCAGTATTTGTGATGAGGAAGATCGGACTAGCTTCGCCGGGGCTCAATCTTGTCAACTCCAGTCCCTATAGGGAGGAGGATCAAACTGGCCAAAATGCGAAACTTATGACCCCGCCCTATAGGCAAGGCAACCGACTTGAGAGTGTGCGTAATTACATAGATTTTAATTTAATATTTGAAAAATTGTATTTTTATAAAACTTTGATTTGCGTGAACACTTCCCAAAGAAAAAAATAT